TCCTTAATTAAGGGGTATTCGGCTCTCTGGGCAGACGACAGAAGCGCCTGCCCAGTGCGCTTGCACCCGCAATGCCTAGAGTGGGTTTAGGGTTTAGGGTTTAGTGTTTAGGGGTTTAGGGTTGAGGGGTTTGGGGCTTAGGGTGAACCCCTAGGCTCAGATCACGACTTCGAAGCCGTCAGAACCCCACGTCGTGGTCCGGCCTTGGGGGTTCGGTTTTTTGGCGTTAGGGTTTAGGGTTTAGGGTTTAGGGTTTAGGGTTTAGGGTTTAGGGTTTAGGGTTTAGGGTTTAGGGCTTGAGGGTTTGGGGGTAAGCGCTGAGGGATGAGTAGTAGAGTATGCGTCCTCCAAGTGTAAGCGTTTACGGGAAGTATGTTCCTTGCACAGTCCTAGATGTTGACCTTCAGTTCCCTGTGAAACATAAGGACCCTCAACCCCGAAGCCCCTAAATCCCTAGCCCCGAAACCCCTAAACCCTAAACCCCTAAACCCTAAACCCCTTGAACCCTAAACCCCTAAATCCTAAACCCCTAAACGCTGAACCCTGAACCCCAACCCCTGAAACGCTAAACCCTAAACCCCAAACCCTGAACCCTTAAACTCTTAAACTCTAAACCCCCTAAACCCTGAACCCTAAACCGCAAAGCCTGAAACCCTCAACCCTAACCCCTAACCCCTAAACCCAAACTCCCTGAAGCCTAAACCCCAAACCCCGAAACCCTCAACCCTTACCCCAAACCCCGAAACCCTCAACCCTAACCCCAAACCCCTAAACCGCAAAACCCCAAACCCCCTCCAAACCCCTAAACCCTAAACCCCTAAACCCTAAACCCCTAAACCCTAAACCCTACTCCTTACCCTAAACCCCAAACCCGGAGGCATGTTTTCGGACATGTCGGGCGCCTGGTGGTTGGCCTCATTACTTCGCGTTCTGGGAAGAGTCGGATGAGAACTTAGGACTTAGGAATGGGGCTTGGGGTTTGGCTTATAGGTTCAGTCAGGGTCTGGGGGTTTCAGGAGTTTGGAGTGAAGAGCTTTCTTCAAGGTCCATGGGTACGCACAAACAGTGATAAATTGGGCGACAAGTAAGGTCATCAGTGTAACTCTAAGAGATTGCTTTCGAAAGTCTTTCTCGGAGTTATGCTGAAAAGATTTGGGGATTTTTGGTTGTCCTTCGGGTTTTGGCATCGAGTGCTTGGGTTCCGGGAAATTTCCGCAGCCTTCTGTAGACTGTAGACGTGTCAGCACAACTTGGGGTGAGGCCACGACATTAGGGCCCATCTTTCTAAACAAAACTTCAACGTTTGAAGCCCTAAACCCTAAACCCCTAAACCCCTAAACCCTGAACCCCTAAACCCTGAGCCTACACACCCTAAACCCCAGGCCGTAAAGCTCTTTGACGCTGAGGTCTGCAGCAGCTCTGCCAGCTGCTCTGCCGCGGAGCTGATTTCTGGCCGGCAGAAGGCCCGGCTGTTTGTTGGGTTTCCGGTTTCAGCGTGGAAGGGCCGAGGGTTCATAATTTAGGATCTAGGATCCTTGTTGGTTGGGTTTCTGGGTTTCAGCATTTCAGGGTGGAAGGGCTGAGGGTTTAGGGTTTTTCTGTTTAGGGTACCGCGTAGGATCTATAGAGGTTTTGGGGCTTCGGGTTTTGGGTGCGTCCAGGGTTTGGCAATCTAGGGTCAAAAGGGTTTGGGCTTTTGAGGCTTTAGGTTTTGGGGTTCGAGGACCAGGTTGTTTTGTTTGAAGCCGTTCCCAAAGTGCTGTGATAGTCACATCCTCATGGGGTTCTGGGTTGAGTGTGTACACTGTAACGGTTGCATTCCGGTCTTTTCTGAAACTCGAGGCTAGAGGCCAATACAGAGCAAAGTCAGCAGCAAAGGCCCAGCACTTGCCGGCAGAGAATGTGCAGGCAGAGACTGAGGGATCACAGCACGGCTGTTCTTTCCGATGAAGATCTGCATCGGCACCTCGCCGCCCTAAACCTGAAACATTGAATGACAGTCGGGATACATTAAAACTAGATCATACTTATATGGAGGAAGCCCCCAAAAAACCCTATTCTAACAAGGCCCCTACATTACCCAAGTCATAGATACCTAAATCCGAAAATCCCTAAGATCCCGAAGCCTTACCCTAAACCCTAAACCCTAAAGCCTAAACCCGACAAGAATCCCGACAATCCCGAAGCCTTACCATCCCAAAGCTCCCCAAACCTGAACTTCCCAGGCCCTAAACCCTCAAACAGGTCTTTAAGTGCAGGATTTCTGGCCTAAGCCCTCAACCCTAAACCCTCCTAAAACTCCTAAACCCCTAAACCCCTACATAATCCCTAAATCCGTAAACCCTAAACCCTCCTAAACCCTAAACCCCAAACCCGCCAAGCCCTAAACTTTTAGCCCCTAACGCCCTAAAACTCGAAACACCAAAAAAACAGGCCTCGGGCCCGCTACGTCTTCTGCTGGCAGCGGCGGTCGGCCGAGGTTTCGCATCGACACCCAGCTTTTGACTCCGACAAAATAGGGGGGGGAGGGTTCTTGGGGTTTCGGGGCTGTATGGCTTTAGGGTTTAGGGTATAGGGTGTAGGGGCTTATGTGTTGAGGGTTTTAGGGTGTAGGGTTCAGGCATATGGGACATCAATCAGAATCCTTTTAA